ATATATATATAATAAATGAATTTAAAAAAAAAAGAAAAAATATAAAAAAAAGCATGCAGTGAAGTACGGGTGAACATTTGGACCGGACCCGATTGGCTCTTGGACCAAACCGGTTTTACAGAAATGGATGAACCTTGGACCGGACCTGTTGAGACTTTCCAGGTTCGGTCCGGAGGTCCAAATACTCACCCTTACGGTGAAGTAGCCTTGTGTTGGGTCACCGTAGCTCCTCGCACCCTAGCGGTGTGGTGCTTACCGCCTACCGCAATGTCCACCTAAGCCTACCACAGTGTGCGGTGATAGTATACCTACCGGTCTTATGCTATAGGTAGGTATAGTTTTTGGATTTCTCCAAAAACAATTTCTTTCTTTCTTTTTAGTCTTTATTTCAACAACTCATAACACAATTCCTTAACATCTCAATCTTATAAAAAAAACCATTTTAATCCATCTCTTTGTTTTCTTTGGCTGCTTTATCTTTCCTGCAAGAACCCTAGATCTCATTCTTAAATTACTTCGACAGGCCTAAAAATAATGGCGATTTCTAGAGCACACGCTAAAATTTTATAATGCCATATCCGGTTATACGTCTTTTTATGTGTTTGCTTTTCTTGGTTTTCTCCTCTTATTTATTTTATTTATCTATTTTGGCTTTTGGTTGTTTTAACTTGTATTTGGAGGATTACTAATTTGCGAATACGTTTCCAACCTGCAACATTGATGTTTTTTTTAGAACAGCGAAACATATATAAAAAATATAAACCAGCGGGGAGCTGGAACAAAACAAAGTGTATAAACAAAATATTACATGAAAATGGATTGAAGCTAAAAAAAACTAAACAGAACAGCACCAATCCAGCCAAAACAATTGAGATTTGAGAACTAAGGCAAAAGCAACCCCAAGGGCATAGTGGTCAAATTACAGACCAAAGACCAGCAACAAAGTTACCCCAGAGAAGGAAAAAAGTTTTCTGCAGCAACAGAGAGAAATAAAGCAACAGCAGCCAACAAAAGTCCAAAACCAACATCCTTAGGGGCAAAATGGTCATAAAATAAAAGAATATCAGGCTCCAGGAGGGAAGAAAGAGCAGGGCTAAGTTGAGAACTACAACCAAATAAATTCCAGGACCAGCTGCACCAATAAGAACCCATTTGGACTGAAACAACACCCAGGGGCAAAATGGTCCAATTCCGGGAAAAGAAAAAATCCACATGTACCCCAACACACGCTAGACTGCAACTAGCAAGGACCTGACCCTAGTCACAACAAACAGGCCAATAGAGACCTTTGCCTTTCTAAAAATAATCCCATTCCTAGATAGCCACAATATCTAGACAATAGCTTCCACCAATGTTTCAACAACTTTTTTTTTTCTTTGAGCTTTGTAAACTGGATGAGGAGATTGCTGCAATTAATTCCGGGAATGAGGATTGGGGCCATAAATCCAAACCAAACCACTATAAAGCCCAGCTCCATACCCTTAGGGACTCTTTGGTTGGCTCGAATCCTATGGAATTACGGATAATTGGGATCTAAATCCACCACATTCCCATGTTTGGTTCAATTTTTGAGAAGGAATTGGAATCCTAAATGAGATGAACTTTTCATCAAGAAGGGAAAGTTCATTCTATCAAGAAAAGGAAGGAAGTAAATTCTAATTCACCAAGGAAAATGAAAGATCACCATATTACCCTTTTATATTTTTAACACTACATATGAAAACCCTATTTTCTAAAATAAAATGACCCTCACAACCTATGC